GTGTTCTCAGGCTCGCTACTCGAGTCCCTGGTACCTGGAGCTCGCGGCTCCTCTCGTCTCCGCGTCGACTTCGCGCTCTCCCGGGACGACCTCTTCCAGTGGGAGCAGCGGACACGGGGACTCGCGGGCCAGTCGAGAGGGGGGCTCGGGGGGCAGTGGAGAGGGGGGCTCGGGGGGCAGTCGAGAGGTGGGCTCGCGGGCTCGGACGGGGGCCCCGTGGGGGAGCGAGGGGGCCCCGCGGGGGAGCGAGGGGGCCCCGCGGGGTCCCTCCTGCAGGAATCGCTTGCCGTGGTGCGGGCGCTGGAGGAGGAGAAGGAGCGCTGGGAGCAGGAGCTGAGGGCGACACGGAACCGCTTCCTTCTGCACATGCGGAGAATCGGCTTCCGGCGTGAGCGGCCCTGCACCCTCCTCCTGCACTCCCCTCCTACACACTCCTCTTGCACCCTTCTCCTGCACCCTCCTCCTCCACACTCCCCTCCTACACACTCCTCCTGCACCCTCCTCCTACACTTTCCTCCTGCACCCTCCTCCTGCACCCTACTCCTACACTCTCCTCCTGCACCCTCCTCCTGCACCCTACTCCTGCACCCTCCTCCTACACATTCTCTGCACACTCCTCCTGCACTCTCTCCTATGCCGTTATGCTGTACTGATAAACAAGTTACTATCTTCGTGGGCTTTACCTGGTCAGATAAAGCAGTGTTAGTTGTGTAATAAAGCTCGTTGAGACAACTTCTGGAATCCATCTGTTATTCAACTTATGTTACAGTTACTTCACGCTGCTGATAGGCAGCGTGAGAGGGACAGATAGAGAGAGACGCACTGCCATGTGGCAACTCGGAGCCCCGCTCCCGCGTGGCCCCCTTCCTCCGTTCGTTCCCGTTCTGACCACGTGTCGTTCGTCTCCACCCCTATTTAATACCCGGGTCACGTGGTACGTTTCCGCCAATCCTCGTTAGCCTGCATGGAATCTTCCAGGCTCCCTCGTCAGCTCCCGGGACCACGCCCCTGACTCATCTCCCCATTTGCTGTGGCCAAAGCCAGCAGAACCAATCCTTATAGCTGTCACCTTTCCATCACGTCAGGGCCATGCCCCCAGGCTTCCCCCCATTGGCTGTAAACCAGGATTGACAGAGCCAATCACCATGACGAGTTGTGATACGTCAGTGAGCCGGAAATATCCTCATATTACATCACCCCCCCCCCCCCCCCCCCCGGTGTAAAAAGTCAGCCGTCTCGGCTGGGAAAAGGGTGACAAGCCGAATCCAATTGAGATAAATATTAGGGCATCTGAGACGCATTAACAAGGTAAGGGGGGGAGTAGGCGTCTACGCGCCGAGGAATTCAAAACATTAAACAACAGACATACATTAGGGCGCCCCTGTAGCGCAGTAACAAAAGGATAACAGACCGCAAGGCCATCAGTACTAACGAAACGGAAGAGATTTCGACCGCATACCCTCTTCATTTTTCACGCATGGTCGTCTCGCCGCCCGATCTGCAGGAGGTGGTTGCCGTGGAGAAGAAGAAGAAGAATGTTCGGTTTCGGTCGTATCTGGGATAGGTCCCGTTGGAGGAGGGACGTCCGGGGTCTCGTCCCTCAAAACCTGTTCATCTGCGGGGGGTACAACACAGCCCCGCTGGGGATCAATGGGCGAGGCAAGTGGCACATTCGGCACGCCAGACCCCGGCAGGTCAACAAGTGGAGATGAGGGGCCAGCACGCGGGTCAACGTAGGGTTTGAGTCGTGACGAATGGACATACCAACGACGTTGGCCGTAATGGATGCGAACACTCTGGGGGTTCCGAATGTGCACCAGCCTCACAGGCCCCCGCCAAGGCCTGTGCAGTTTAGGGGACGTTCCCACTGGCACCTGAGGGCAATGGAGCCATGCCAGATCGCCCACCGACCAGGGCATGTCAGTTCGCGATCGACGCGCATACCTCTCGTTCCTTGCCTGCGTACGGGCCGTCGCACATCTGGCGGCCTCTCGTGCCTCTGTAACCCGTTTAAAAGAGTCCCGTACGTGATCAGGCAAGGAAGGGGACGGTTGTTTACCCGCCGTACCCAGTTGCCTCATCAATCGGGGGTACATTCTCACGGCCATACATCAGGAAAAATGGCGAATATCCTGTGGACGCGTGCGGAACCATGCGGTATGCCGCCAGGACGCCCGGTATGTGCAAGTCCCAATCGGTTTGTTTTTTACTTACCGTGTGACAAAGCATGGCCGAAAGGGTGCGGTTAAACCGTTCCACCATTTCATCCGTTTGCGGATGGTAAAGGGAAGTGCGGATTTTTTTTGTGCCCAGCGCAGTGCATACATCCTTGAGCAATTTGGAGGAGAAGTTACATCCCTGATCCATGAGCAGCCCTTCGGGTGCTCCTTTATCCATGATGTAACCATTCAAGAAAGCCTCGGTGATGGACGCGGTCCGTTTGGTCAGGCAGAGGCCAGGGCATAGGCCATCGAGAAAAATATTCGACCCCAACCAAAAGGTATTTGTTTCCCCTAGCCGATGGAGGAAACGGGCCCAGGATGTCCAGAGCAACTAGTTCATTGATACGGGATACCTCAATCGAACGTAGTGGCGGAACATAATGTTGCCGAGGTGGTTTCCTCTTCGCACAATTATGGCATGACCGGACAAAGTCAGTGACATCTGCCATCATGCCGGGCCAAAAGAAATCCTGCTGCATCGCGGCCAACGTTTTCTGCATGCCGAGGTGCATCAATTTGTCAGCATGCAGAGCGCGGAGCAGGTCATAGCGAAGGGATGTCGGCCCGACCAGGCATGAACGGTCAGACAATCCATCAGTACACATCAATAGTCCCACCTGGCCCCGGAACATCTGCCATTTCCATCCCGCCAAATGAGCTCTCGGTTTCCCGATCAGTTTCCGCAGCGGAGCCAGAGAGGCATCGGCCTCCTGCTCACGTAGCCACACCGAGTGCGGCAAACGCAGTGTATCGTCGGCGCCAACGGGTACATCCTGGCCTTCATCGTTCGAAATCGCCCCCATGACCGGACAGGGCGAGGTAGGCAGCGCTGCACAGTGGTGCGTACCCGTCAGACAGGCGCAGGGAGGAGTGGGTGGCAACCTGGAGAGAGCGTTCGCGTTGGCATGGCGAGTACCCTTGCGGTACGTGATATCAAAGGAAAATTCCTATAACGATTCCAACCACCGAGCCAATTGCCCTGATGGTTGGTCCAATTTCAACGAATATTGCAAGGCCGCATGGTCAGTGCGCACGAGGAATTTCCTTCCATACAGGTACGGCCGGTACTGGCGAACAAAATATATGATTGCTTACAGTTCCCGTCGCGTCACACAATATCACGTTTTTGCAGGAGACAGAACCCTGCTGCCGTATGCCACCACTCGCTCGACTCCATCTTTCCGTTGCGACAAAACGGCTCCTATGCCGATATCGCTAGCATCCGTGTCAAGGATGAACGGCTGGGAAAAGTCTGGGTAGTCGAGCGTAGGTGCCGTGGCGAGGTGATCCCGAAGAGATTGAAAAGAGCGCTCCTCTTCCGGGCCCCATTTAAATCTCAGATTTTTCCCCGTCAGAACATGCAGTGGCTTAGCCAGTGTCGCGAAGTTCTTAACAAAACGGCGATAGTAGGATGCAAACCGAATAAACCGCCGTACGTCGCCCATTGAAGTGGGCGTGGGCCACTCTCGGACACACTCCGTTTTTTGAGGGTCCGTGGACACACCGTCCGAACTGACGATGTGACCCAAGTATCAGACAAACCGTTGCAAAAGGTGGCATTTCTTTGGTTTAAATTTTAGGTCAGCCGAGCGCATCCTTTGAAAGACAGTCTCCAGGCATTGGAGGTGTTCCTCGAACGTGCGGCTGAATACGATGATGTCCAAATATATGAGGCATGTTTCCCACTGCAGCCCCGCCAGCACCAGTTCCATCAGGCGTTGGAATGTCGCCGGTGCCGCATTCAAGCCCATAGGTAAACGGTTAAACTCAAAGAGGCCTTGTGGCGTGCGGAACGCCGTTTTTGGTTTTGACGCGTCATCGAGGGGAAGCTGCCAAAACCCAGACGACAGGTGAAGGATGGAGAAAAAATTTGCCACTGACAAAGCGTCCAATGAGTCGTCCATCCGTGGCAAGGGGTATGCGTCTGCCACGGATATCTTATTCAATCGGCGGAAATCTACACAAAACCTCGTCCCACCATCTTTTTCCTTAACCAGTACCACCGGCATGCCCCAAGGACTGCTGGACGGCGAAATAATATCAGCCGCCAACATATCGTCCACCGCGCCGCGCATGTGTTCCCTTTCAGCAGGGCTCATGCGATGCGGGTGCATACAAATCGGTCCCGCCGCACCGGTGTCAATATGGTGCGACAAGAGTGAGGTATGGCCGAGATCCAAATCGTTTTTACTGAAAACGTCAGAGTACTCTAACAACAATGAATGCAAAGCGCTCCTTTGCGTGGTCGGCAAAGACTATTTTCCCCGCACAAATCCGCGATCTATCGATCCTGTGAACGATCGTATCGAGGTCCATCAGCGGCTATTTTAGTGGGTGGTTTACCCTCAAAGCTGGTGAAATCGATAGTGGCGTGAGCCAATACCGATCCAGCCGGAACGACGACCCGGTTCGGGTCCCCATTCAACACTTGTATGAACGGGGCCTGACCCGGCCGAACGATAGTTTGAGCCGCTACCAGGGAAAAAGATTTAGCCACCGAATTCGACGGGGATAACAGCACACCCGTCGCACCATCCGCAGCATTCAAAGGCTTTCGGTAATGCAGCGGAAAAAGCATTTGCGAGCCCGACGGCACCTCTACCGTGGCAGCAACAATCGCTAAAACTGCGTTACCCGGGGGCGAACGGCCCAGCAGGGAAGGCAGGAACGACATCCTACGGCTCCCTGGCATTTCTAAGCAACCTTGGTGGACAAGTATCTTAACTGGCCTGCGGCGCAATAAATCGGTGCCTAATAGGCATGGAACGGCCAGTGAGCGAGAAATCAACACTGGTCCCTCCGCTGTAATATTCCCGATAGCAATGCGCACATCAACTTGCCCGAAAATACCCATGCTACCCCCATTAGCAGCAACACACGCATCATTAACCGGTCGGATCCGTGACGTGGGAATAGACAGGAGATGAAAAATGACATCGAAAATTATGGTGGCAGACGTGCCTGTGTCCACCAAAATATGGACATCGATCCCATCGATGGTACCTCGTACCGTCGATGAGCCCGACGCGGCAGCTACCACCCTACGGGCCAATTTTTTCTATTGTGTCATAGAGTGTGGCATCGACACAGGTGTACAACAATTTCCGCCCGGAGCGCAAACATGTGTGCGAGTGGATGGGTGATGTGACAAGACTTGCCGGGTATCCGATTTGTGCCGACTCGCCCGAGGGTGTCGTGGATTCGCGTCCGGTGGAGGAGATGGAAGCCGACCCGACGGGAGCTGAGAAGGCAGAGGTCGGCAGCGGCAATCCCGGGCGAAATGGCCCCGTCGGCCACACTTGAAGCGCGTGGCCGTCGTCGCCCGGCGGTCGCTCGTTCCGGGCCCTGCACGTGGTCGACTCGTATCATCACGCTGGTCGCGCAGCCAGCATCTCGGGACCCAGCGAGGAACAGCAGCCATCACCTCGTCGTCGCCGGAGTCATCGGAGCAGTGGATGACCCGCCGTGGAGATCACCCCAACGGTGGACCGTCTATTTGGAGATTTCCCGTCCATGCCGCCATCTGATCCCAGCGCTTCAGATTGAACTTAGCGTCCAAGCAGCGCGCCGCCCATCGCGACGTGAGCGGTCGTGGCCGCATACCGGCAACGAGATGTTCAGTTCCTGGGCCAGCTCCATCACTCGGGAACGGATGAGAGGATCCAGGAGATCAGCCGACGAGTCGGGGTAGGCGGCCATGGCCAAAGCTAACAGCGCCCCCCGGTAGGCCAAGGGCGATTCCTCTGATCCTTGACGACGTGACATACATTTTCTGGTAGCCGCCGTCGGCGGGTCGTAAAACTCCGCCATTTCTGTGAAAGCATCACGAAGCGTCTTCTTCTTGGTCACCTGGGATGGATCGGAAGACCGCCAAGGAGACATCATCCAGCAGCGTGGGCAGCGCCTCCAGTGCCTCCACCTCCGTCCATCGAACGGATCTAAAGGCCGACTCGAAGCGCCACGTGAAGGCACTCCAATCGCCCCCGGCGATAAATTCCTTGATTTGAGGAAGGCGATGTCCGCGGTGAATGTCCGACGCCTCGAGCGTCTCCATTCCCGCTTCCCGCGTTCTTCGCGGCTCCGTCAAAATGGCGGCCGCGTGGCGACAGCCCTGCCAAAGATGGCGTCCGGCGGCCGCCTTGCAGCAGCCCCTCCCAAGATGGCGTCCGGCGGCTCCATCGCAGCCGCCCCGCCCAAGATGGAGGCCTTTCCCCGCGCGGCAGGAGCAATGGCGGACGTCGATTCCCACTGAAAATCCTGGTCATCGGCACTCGGCTGAAACCCACGCGGCCGACCAAGGGCCACTGAGGATGCGACCACCGTCACCAGATTCAGCAAAATGGCGCGGAGCGACTCGATCTGCTCCGCCAGTAGCCGCCATCCCTCGTCCGCAGTCGAGGCCGTCGCTTCTCCAGCCTGTCAGCGATGAGCGGCGTCGAGGAGAGCAGCAGCCGGAGGCAGAGCACCTGCAGCTCCCAGCAGTTCGTCCTCGTTTGCCTCAACTTCTTCCTCCGACGGAGGGTCCAGTGGGTTCTTCTTCCTGAGGTGCTTGGACATCTTGAAGGATCGTCCAAATGGTCTCAGAAGATACTTCTGACACCAATGTAATAAAGCTCGTTGAGACGACTTCTGGAATCCGTCTTTTATTCAACTTATGTTACAGTTACTTCACGCTGCTGATAGGCAGCGTGAGAGGGACAGATAGAGAGAGAGAGACGCACTGCCACGTGGCAACTTGGAGCCCCGCTTCTGCATGGCCCCCCTCCTCCGTTCGTTCCCGTTCTGACCACGTGTCGTTCGTCTCCACCCCTATTTAATACCCGGGTCACGTGGTACGTTTCCGCCAATCCTCGTTAGCCTGCATGGATCTTCCAGGCTCCCCTCGTCAGCTCCCGGGACCACGCCCCTGACTCATCTCCATATTGGCTGAGGCCAAAGCCAGCAGAACCAATCCTTATAGCTGTCACCTTTCTATTACCTCAGGGCCATGCCCCCAGGCTTCCCCCCATTGGCTGTAAACCAGGACCGGCAGAGCCAATCACCATGACGAGTTGTGATACGTCAGTGAGCCGGATATATCCTCATATTACAGTTGTATTTGTGCGTCTGTTGTAAGTAATCTATGTACCTTCCCTATACTCTGCACTCCTATCGTCCTGTCGTGTTTTTGTATTGTTTGTCGGTGTCACGTTCTGAGCCCGTGCCCCCCACTGGACATCTGTAATCCACTCTGCTGCCCCCCCCCCCCGCTTCTCCCCCACTCTCAGTGCTGCACGTGCAGGAGGAGCTGCGCCGGGCACTGGAGCAGGGTCACGTGATCCCACAACGGCGACACCTCGAGCTGTGGCACCGTCACGTGCAGGTGAGAGGCAGGTGCATGTGGAAGTCACGTGATGCTCACTTGGTGGTGATGATGTCGATGGTCATGAGGATGTTGGTGGTGGTGGGCATGGTGGTGGTGGTGATGATGATGTTAATGTTTATGATGATGACGATGATTTTGATGATGGTCCTGATATTCTTTGGGTCTTTCCGTAAAGTCACGTAGATAGGTTCAAAGAAAATATAAAAAAACTACGACGTTTCGATCACAACACAAGCGGTTGTCATCAGGAAAAGGGGGTTAACTTCTAAAGGCAAACAGTTTTAAAGGTTTTAAATGAGCGTGGTCCAAAAGTCAGCAGCCAATGTTAATGTGAGTGGTGGGCAGCGACCGTGGCGGTGGTGGGTACCAACTGAGCAATCATTGGAAGGACGTTATTAACCAGTTGAAGTCATAACTGGCTGTGATGTTCCCATCCTACCACCTTCCGATGTTAGTTGTAATTTTCGGCTCTCTGATTTTACATTAACAGGTTAAATGTCTCACACCAACACAGCCACCTCGCGCGCCCAGCTCGAGGTTGCTGCTCTGCGATCTGCCATGAACATGCTAATCTCTCACATTAACATGCCAATCTCTCACATTAACATGCTAATCTCTCCCATGAACATGCCAATCTCTCACATTAACATGCTAATCTCTCCCATGAACATGCTACTCTCTCACATTAACATGCCAATCTCTCACATTAACACGCTACTCTCTCACATTAACATGCCAATCTCTCCCATGAACATGCTACTCTCTCACATGAACATGCTAGTCTCTCACATTAACACGCTAATCTCTCACATTAACATGCCAATCTCTCACATTAACATGCTAATCTATCACATTAACATGCCAATCTCTCACATTAACACGCTACTCTTTCACATTAACATGCTAATCTCTCACATTAACATGCCAATCTCTCACATTTACACACTCATCTCTCCCATGAACATGCTCATTTCTCACATTAACACGCTCCTCTCTCACATTAACACGCTCATCTCTCACATTAACACGCTCATCTCTCACATTAACATGCTAATCTCTCACATTAACATGCTCATCTCTCACATTAACATGCCAATCTCTCACATTAACATGCTCATCTCTCCCATGAACATGCTCATCTCTCACATCAACACGATCATCTCTCACATTAACATGCTCATCTCTCCCATGAACACGCTCATCTCTCACATTAACATGCTCATTTCTCACATTAACATGCCAAACTCTCACATTAGCACACTCATCTCTCACATTAACATGCCAATCTCTCACATTAACACGCTCATCTCTCACATTAACATGCTACTCTCTCACATTAACATGCTCATCTCTCACATTAACATGCTACTCTCTCACATTAACATGCTCATCTCTCACATTAACATGCTACTCTCTCACATGAACATAGCCACCTCAGCGTGCTCGCCGTGGAGGCTGCTGTACGATCTTGCATTAACATGATAATTTTTACCTGGCAGCCTTTTGATTGGTGGAAAACCCACCACGGTCGCTGCCCACCACTTACATTAACATTGGCTGCTGACATTTGGGCGACGCCCATTTCTAACCTTGAAAACAGTTTGCCTTTTGAAGCCAACCCCCTTTTCCTGATGACGACCGCTTGTGTTGCGATCGAAACGTCGTAGTTTTTTGTTATTTTCTTTGAACCCATCTACGTGACTTTCCCGAAAGACCCAAAGAATATGAATTCCTGCAGTCACGAATGTTTTAAGTAAAGATGGTTCTGATGTTGATGGTGGTAATGTGATGATGATGCTGATGTTGATGGTGGTTCTGATGTTGATGTTAGTGGTCATTGATGGTGTTTGTGATGTTGATGATGCTGGTGATGTTGATAATGATGGTATTGATGTTGGTGGTAGTGTTGATAATGATTTGTATGATCTTATTGGTGATGTTCATGGTGATGCTGTATGATGTTAGTGGTAATGTTCATTGTGATGATGATGATATTGGTAGTGATGTTGGTGGTGATGTTGATGGCGATGTTGATGGTGATGTTGGTGATGTTGATGGTGATTTGATTGTGATGTTGATGGTCATGTTAGTGGTGATGTTGACAGTGATGTTGATGTTGTTGGTGATGTTGATGGCGATATTGATGGTGACGTTGATGGTGATGTTGATAGTGATGTTTGTGGTGGTGATGTTGGTGGTGATGTTGATGTTGGTGGTGATGTTGATGGTGATGTTGATGGTGATGGTGATATTGATGTTGATAGTGATGTTTGTGGTGGTGATATTGATGTTGGTGGTGATGTTGATAGTGATATTGATGTTGATGGTGATGTTGGTGGTGATGGTGATGTTGATGTTGATGGAGATGTTGATGTTGGTGGTGATGTTGATGGTGATGTTGATGGTGATGTTGATGTTGGTGGTGATGTTGGTGGTGATGTTGATGTTGATGTTGGTGGTGATGTTGGTGGTGATGTTGATGGTGATGTTGATGGTGATGTTGGTGGTGATGTTGGTGGTGATGTTGATGGTGATATTGATGTTGATGTTGGTGGTGATGTTGATGGTGATGTTGATGTTGGTGGTGATGTTGGTGGTGATGTTGATGGTGATGTTGATGTTGGTGGTGATGTTGGTGGTGATGTTGATGGTGATGTTGATGGTGATGTTGATGTTGGTGGTGATGGTGATGTTGGTGATGGTGATGTTGATGTTGGTGGTGATATTGATGTTGATGTTGGTGGTGATGTTGATGGTGATGTTGATGTTGGTGGTGATGTTGGTGGTGATGTTGATGGTGATATTGATGGTGATGTTGATGTTGGTGGTGATGGTGATGTTGGTGGTGATGTTGATGGTGATGTTGATGGTGATGTTGATGGTCATGTTGATGTTGGTGGTGATGTTGATGTTGGTGGTTATGTTGGTGGTGATGTTGATGGTGATGTTGGTGGTGATGGTGATGTTGATGTTGGTGGTGATGTTGATGGTGATGTTGATGGTGATGTTGATGCCCTCTGCAGGATATCACGGCCGCACACCTGGAGGAGATGGCCGAGCTCGACCAAGACGCGGAGGAGAGGGGGGTGGGGGGTCAGAGGGGTGAGGGGTCAGAGGGGTGAGGGGTCAGAGGGGTGAGGAGACAGAGGGGTGAGGGGTCAGAGGGGTGAGGGGTTAGAGGGGTGGGGGAACAGAGGGGTGAGTGGTGAGGCTAATGGGATTCTCTGCCCAGTGTAAACACTCCCCAGATGAATAAAGCACTCGGCGCTCTCCCGTGACTCCCTCCGTGACTCTTCCTCCGTGACTCTTCCGCTGTGACGGCACTCGGATGTCACCACGTGCTCACGGCTCGCAGTGGAGGCACGCGTCTGCCTCCGCGTGTGAGAGGTTTCCACTGCTGGGCACGGTGCTAATGACCTGCTTCGGTTTGACAGCAGAGGTCTCACTCCGAGTAAGTCAGGCGGCATTGTCGTTTCATCAGCTGCGTAACGCTACGTGGAGGCTACCTGCTCCGTTGTTCCACACAAAGCTTTGGATATTCTCGGCGACGGTCATGTCCTCCCTTCTCTACGCCCGCGAAACGTGGACCCATCTAATAGAACATCTGCGCCAGTTAGAAACATTCAGCTTGGCCTGCCTACGGTCCATCCTGGGTTTAACCACCAGGCAGGATTGTGTGAGAAGCTCACAAATCCTCGAAAGATCTGGACACATTCCCATCAGTGGGCGCCTCCTACAGGCAAGGCTACGTTGGCTGGGTCATGTAGCCCGCATGCCCCGCCACCGCATGCCTTAACAGCTTTTGTCGGATCGAGGGGGATAAACGGGTGCGGCACGGGCTAGAGAAGAGATGGAGTGATGTGGTATGAGAGGACGTGGAGCTGAGTGGACTTGCCGATGACTGGTACCAGCGGTGTCAAGATCGGCCTCTGTGGAGGAGGCTCGTGAAGGACGCTGCTACTGGGCAGTTGGAGGCAGTCGCCCTCCAACAACAACGGAGGGCGGAGGAGTGACGCTCACAACAACGAGCGGAGCGCCGGTCGGATAAAACACAGAAAATTGGCACAGTAGGGGGCACATGTGGGGCATCCCATGGCACCTGGGTCTGTCCCGTGACCTCCTGCCAGCGTGCGTTCGAGTGCACATAGCCTGGCACAAGCGCCGTGGTGACGTCACCGTTATTTAGTGGCGAGTGGAGGTTGTTGTTGTGTGTAGGACACGTTTGTCTACGTGTCTCCCTGTGTCTCCACGTGTCTCCAAGTATCTCAACGTGTGTATGTGTGTGTGAGACGTGTGTGTGTGTCTGTGTGTGTGTGAGACGTGTGTGTGTGAAACTCGTGTTTCCGTGTGTGTGTGTGTGTCTGTGTGTGTGACGTCTGTGTGTGTGACGTGTGTGTGTGTGTGAAACTCATGTTTCCGTGTGTCTGTGTGTGTGTAACGTGTGTGTGTGTATGAAACTCGTGTTTCCGTGTGTATGTGTGTGTGAGACGCGTGTGTATGTGTGTGTGAGACGCGTGTGTGTGTGTGTATAGGACGTGTGTGTCTGTGTGTGTGTGAAACTCGTGTTTCCGTGTGTATGTGTGTGTGAGACGCGTGTGTGTGTGTGTGTACAGGACGTGTGTGTGTGTCTGTGTGTGTGAGACGTGTGTGTGTGAAACTCGTGTTTCCGTGTGTATGAGACGCGTGTGTGTGTGACGTGTGTGTGTGTATGTGTCTCTGTGTGTGTGCAACGTGTGTGTGTGTAACGTGTGTGTGTGTGTAACGTGTGTGTGTGTGTGTGAAACTCGTGTTTCCGTGTGTATGAGACGCGTGTCTCCGTGTTGTCCCTGTGCTGGAACGTGCCTGGAGGGGAGTGAAAATTCACTCAAACCGGTTCAGCGAGTGCTCCGCTGATAAACCGAGGCGCATTGCCATAACACACACAAAACAAAGCACAGATAAAGATCCCCCGTGTAGCCTGCTGCATCACCACACTATTTATCCTGTAGGAGAAATCCGATGATCTACAAAGCTCTGTTTTTTTCCACAGATGTCCAGTAGGGGGTGGTTTAAAAAGTAGCAACAACAAACAATACCAACAACAAACAATACCAACAACAAACAATACCAACAACAAACAATACCAACAACACACGATACCAACAATAAACAATACCAACAACAAACAATACCAACAACAAACAATACCAACAACACACGATACCAACAACAAACAATACCAACAACAAACAATACCAACAACAAACAATACTAACAACACACGATACCAACAACAAGCAATACCAACAACAAACAATACTAACAACACATGATACCAACAACACACGATACCAACAACACACGATACCAACAACACACAATACTAACAACAAACGATACCAACAGCACGAAAAGGAGTGCAAAGTACGTCAAAGGTGAACATCACTGTTGGGGAAAGTGCTGTTAGCGAGTAGCACCTATGAAGGCCAACAACACGATGGGCCACCTTTGTCTTCACCCAAAGTACTAATTTAAGGCCGAGTCGACCTAGAGGAGGCCCAGGACCTTGTCAGATACTTGTCACTGTTTTTGGGTGACGAGCGGCGCAGTGCGCTAACCGCTGCGCCACCGCTCTGCACACACGCACATACACACATGCAACACGTAAACACACCCACACACATTCCATCTCGCACACACACACACACGTGCTGCCATTCAGCTTACACAGGCACGCACACTCCGACTGTACACCCCGTTAAACACTTAACACACAACAGCCCCCATTCGCCACGAAGCAGCGGTGACGTTCGACACATCACTTGTGCCAGGCTAGGTGCACTTTGATGCCACGTGAAATGTGGATGGCTCGCTGGCAGCATTTCACGGGACAGACCCAGCAGGTACCATGGGTCGACTGACTGAGATGACTGGCAGATGCACCACCTGTGCTCCCTACTGTGCCAACTTTCTGTGTTTTAGCCACCCGGCGCCTCGCTCGTTGTTGTGAGCGTCGCTCCTCCGCCCTCCGTTGTTGCTGGAGGGCGACTGCCTCCAACTGCCCAGTAGCGTCCTTCACGAGCCTCCTCCTCCACAGAGGCCGATCTTGACACCGCTGGTACCGGTCATCGGCAAGTCCACTCAGCTCCCCGTCCTCCTGTACCGCATCACTCCATCTCTTCTCTAGCCCGTACCACGCCTGTTTAGCCCCCTCGATCCGGCCGAACAAAAGCTGTCTGTTATACTATATAACAGACTAATACTATATAACAGACTAATAATATATAACAGACTAATAATATATAACAGACTAATACTATATAACAGACTAATACTATATAACAGACTAATAATATATAACAGACTAATAATATATACACGTAGGCTTTCGCGACCAATGTTATTCATAATCAACGATTTTTGGGTTTAGATCGCGTTTATTTATAAATGTGTCGTAACCCTCCACCACCCGACACGGCCAATCAGTAAAAAATGTGTCACGTTGACAAAGACAAATAGTTCACTGCTTTAGCCCACCGGTGTGTTGAAGCAACAACATTCACAATTTGAGTACGACGTTTCGCTGGTAATTACAACCAGCATCATCGGGCAATTCGCCAGAATGGTGAGGCTCTCCTGTGTCTCCCGTTCTTATATAGAGCAGCAGCAGGATGACGTCATCATTAACTCATTAACTCATCAGGTGCAAAGATTCAAGGGGGGAGTGATTGTAATTATATACTAGATTAGTAATCAGGCTATTGTTACGATGCGAGTTGTAGATTAGTAATCACAATAAAACACATTCCAAATGATTACTAATCTACAACTCGCATCGTAACAATAGCCTGATTACTAATCTAGTATATAATTACAATCACTCCCCCCTTGAATCTTTGCACCTGATGAGTTAATGAGTTAATGATGACGTCATCCTGCTGCTGCTCTATATAAGAACGGGAGACACAGGAGAGCCTCACCATTCTGGCGAATTGCCCGATGATGCTGGTTGTAATTACCAGCGAAACGGCGTACTCAAATTGTGAATGTTGTTGCTTCAACACACCGGTGGGCTAAAGCAGTGAACTATTTGTCTTTGTCAACGTGACACATTTTTTACTGATTGGCCGTGTCGGGTGGTGGAGGGTTACGACACATTTATAAATAAACGCGATCTAAACCCAAAAATCGTTGATTATGAATAATAATATATAACAGACTAATAATATATAACAGACTAATACTATATAACAGACTAATAATATATAACAGACTAATAATATATAACAGACTAATAATATATAACAGACTAATAATATATAACAGACTAATACTATATAACAGACTAATAATATATAACAGACTAATAATATATAACAGACTAATAATATAACAGACTAATACTATATAACAGACTAATAATATATAACAGACTAATAATATATAACAGACTAATAATATATAACAGACTAATACTATATAACAGACTAATAATATATAACAGACTAATAATATATAACAGACTAATAATATATAACAGACTAATACTATATAACAGACTGATAATATATAACAGACTAATACTATATAACAGACTAATAATATATAACAGACTAATAATATATAACAGACTAATAATATATAACAGACTAATACTATATAACAGACTAATAATATATAACAGACTAATAATATATAACAGACTAATAATATATAACAGACTAATAATATATAACAGACTAATAATATATAACAGACTAATACTATATAACAGACTAATAATATATAACAGACTAATACTATATAACAGACTAATACTATATAACAGACTAATACTATATTACAGACTAATACTATATAACAGACTAATACTATATAACAGACTAATACTATATAACAGACTAATAATATATAACAGACTAATACTATATAACAGACTAATACTATATAACAGACTAATACTATATAACAGACTAATACTATATAACAGACTAATACTATATTACAGACTAATACTATATAACAGACTAATAATATATAACAGACTAATACTATATAACAGACTAATAATATATAACAGACTAATACTATATAACAGACTAATACTA